ATGTGGGACACGGCCTCAGCATGGCTGCAGAAGTTGTGCGTCGGTGCATGGCCGGGATCCGAACCTGGGCCGCCAGCAGTAGAGCGCGCGCACTTAACTGCTAAGCCATGGCGCCAGCCCTAGACGCACTTATTATGTTGAGGAAGTTCCATTTTATTCCTAGTTTGCTGACAATTTTTTTAAAAATCAGGAATGGTGGGGCTGGCCCTGTGGTGTAGCGGTTAAGTGCGCACACTCCGCTACTGGTGGCCTGGGTTTGGATCCCAGGTGCGCACCGATGCACCGCCTGTCAGGCCATGCTGTGGTGGTGTCCCATATAAAGTGGAGGAAGATGGGTATGGATGTTAGCTCAGGGCCAGTCTTCCTCAGCAAAAAAAAAAAAAAGGATTGGCATGGATGTTAGCTCAGGACTGATCTTCCTCACATACACACAAAAAAATCAGGAATGGATGCTGGATTTTGTCAAATGCATTTTCTGTATCTATTGAGATGTTCCATTTGGTTTTCTTTTTGACTCTGTCAATAGTGTAAACTACACTGATCAATTTTCAAATGATAAGCCAACTTTGCTCTCCTGGGATAAACCTCACTTGGTCATGTTGTATTATCCTTTTTATACAGTGTTGGATTCAATTTGTTAAAAAAAATTTTTAAATAATTTTTGTACCTATGACCAGAAGGGATATTAGTCTGTAGTTTTCTTTTCTTGTAATGTCTTTGTCAAACTTTGGTGTCAGAATAATGCTGTCCTTACAGAATAAGCCGGGAAATATTTCCTTCCTTCAATTTTCTTTAAGAGTCTGTGTAGAATTGGCATTGTTTTTTCCTTAAATGTTTGGTGGAGTTCCCAGTGAAGCCATCTCCGTATGAAATTTTCTTTCTTTTTTTTTGTGAGGAAGATCACCTCTGAGCTAACATCCGATGCCAATCCTCCTCTTTTTGCTGAGGAAGACTGGCCCTGGGCTAACATCCGTGCCCATCTTCCACTACTTTATATGGGACGCCGCCACAGCATGGCTTGACAAGCGGTGCGTCGGTGCACGCCTGGGATCCGAACCGGTGAACCCCGGGCCGCAGAAGCAGAGCACGCACCTAACCACTACACCACCGGGCTGGCCCCTAGATATGAAATTTTCTTTGAGGGAAAGTTTTTAACTACAAATTCAATGCTTTCACAGATACACAGCTATTCAGGCTATCTATTTCTTCTTGACGGAGCTTGTAGTGTCTTTCAAGGAATTCATTCCTTTAGTCTAAGTTGTTGAATCTATTGGCATGAAGTTGTCCATGTTCTGATTATCCTTTTAGCAATGATGCCATCATTCCCACTCATGATACTGTTAATTTGCCTTTTCTTGTTCAATCCAGACAGAGATTTCTCTATTTTATTGATCTTCTCAAAAAATCAGCTGCTGGTTTCACTGATTTTCTCTCGTTTTGTTTCCTGTTTCATTGATTTCCACTCTGCTATTTACTATGTCCCTTCTTGTGCTTTGGATTTCATTTGCTCTTATTTTTCTAATTTCTTAAGATGAATGCTCAAGTTATTGATTTGAGACCTCTCCTCTAGCAGTGTTTTAGCCACATTCGACAAATTTTGAAATGCTGCATTTTCATTTACATTCAGTTCAAAATTCTAACTTCCCTTTTGGCCCATGGGTAATTTAAAAGTGAGTCATTCAGTTTCCAAAGATTTGGATGATTTTCCAGATAACTGTTATTGATTTCTAACTTAATATCATTGTGATCAGACAACATATTTGTTTCACAGCCCAGAATGTGATCCATTTTGGTAAATGTTCTTTATACACTTGAAAACGTGTACTCTGCTGTAATGGTGTAGTGTTCTGTAAATGTCCATCAGGTCAAGTTGGCTGATGGTGTCACTCAACTCTACTATATCCTGGTGGTTTTCTGGGTACTTGTTTTGACATTTATTGAGAAAGGAGTATTGAAATCTCCAACTACAATTGTGGGTTTCTCTCTCTCTCTCCCTGCAGGTCTATTAGTTTTTGCTTCATGCATTTTAAAGCTTTATTATTAGGTGCAGAACTGTTTAGGATTGTTATAGCCTTCTGATGAATTTGCCCCTCCATCAGTATGAAACGACCCTGATTTCTGGTAATACTTTGGTATGAGGTCTACTCAGAGGACCAGGTTTGGGGATGAAGACCACACATTCAGCTTTAGGCATGTGTATATGAGGTGAGACACCCAAGAACAAATGCCTAAGAGTTAGAGAGGGAAGTGTGGTCTGGAGATACTGATTTGGGTTCAGGTGGCGTTATTACAGCGCCTAGTGCAGTGCCAGTATATAAAGGTGCTCCATAAATACTTATGAAATAAAAAGTCTGAGTAGACTCTCGTCTCCAAAGGAATTACACTATTTAGAACTCCACCTGATCCCGGGTCATGCCAGCATAAATTTAAGGCCTCCAAACTCAAATGAACCCTCAAATCCCACCATGCTTTCTAGAGAGTCATCCACTAGGTTTTCCACAACAGCTATTTTAGATCCTTCCCACACTGCTTAAACCTTAGCTCTCTTACCTCCCTTCTCATCTTCAGTAGGTGTTTTCTTTTCCTTATTCACAGCGAAAATAGAAGCCATCCGAGAATCCCTTCACTTTCATTCCAGCCAACACATAAAGCACCTGCAACCGCAACCCACCTTCCCTACTTCCCTCCTCCCACAACGAAAAGTGCTTTTCCTGTCTCCAAAGCCAACACTTCCCCTATGCTCTGGATGTCACGCCCTTCCTATCTTCCAGGGGACTGCACTTTATTCCTTCCTCTTCTGTACCAGCAAAACTTCTCTCTGTTGGCTCCCTTCCATCAGCTTTAGGCCGCTCAAGAATCTCCCATCTCAAAACATCTTAACGCCACATCATCCTTCTAGCTCCCACACTTTCTTCTGCACAGCCAGACGTCCTGAGTTGCCTCCACTTACCCATCTCTACCTCTTCATTTCTTTATTTATCCACTTACGACAATGTATAGCTTCCACCCCACCACGTCAACGAAACTACTCTGGGCAAGGTCACCAACGATCTCAATGTTGCTAAATCCAACATACATCTTTTACTCCTTTTTGTAGTTGACTTTATTGTGGCATTTGACACTTTCAATTACCTTTTTCTCCCCTGGAAACAACCTCTTTTCGTGGCTCCATAACATAATGCTCCCTTGGTTTTCTTCCTGCTTCCCTGGCTGCTCCTTCTCCATATGCTATTCTACTGCCTGAAGGCTCTAACTTCTTTCTTTTTTTTAAAATTTATTATTTTTTTTGGTGAGGAAGATTCGCCCTTAGCTAACATCCATTGCCAATCTTACTCTTGTTTTTGCTTCAGGAAGACCAGCCCTGAGCTAACATCTGTGCCCATCTTCCTCTACTTTGCATGTGGGACGCCTGTACAGCACAGCTGATGAGTGGAGTAGGTCCGCACCTGGGATCCAAACCCGCGAACCCGGGCTGCCAAAGCGGAGTGCGCAGAACTTTAACCACTCAGCCATGGGGCCAGCCCTCTAACTCCTTTCTAACTACGCTCTCCCCACTGGTGCTCTCTTCACCTCTCAAAGACTCAACTGCCACCTGAAGGCTGAGGACATCCAAATACCTGTCTCTAGTCTGGACTCTTTCCTGGGCTCTCAATCCTTATATTCCACTTACCAGACAAATGCACTGGTTGGAAAAGCCACGTGACTTGTGTGGAATTCTAGCTGCACCATTTGTCGACGTTGGCCTAGTAATGACACTGTTGAGCATGTCTTCTCATCCCCCCAAAAAGCAGTGGGGGGGATTAACTGTATTGTGCTTTCTTCTCCAAGATACTCTGGGATCATTAAAAGGAACCACTATCTAAAAGGACGCTGTAGGCGCTGGCCCCATGGCCTAGTGGTTAAGTTTGGTGAGCTCTGCTTAGGCAGCCAGGGTTCAGTTCCTGGGTGTGGACCTACACCACTCATCTGCAACCCACATGTAAAGCAGAGGACGATTGGCAGGGATGTCAGCTCAGGGCGAATCTTCCTCACCAAATACATACATAAATAAATCAATCCTGTGTCTAAAAAAATAAATAAAAGGATGCTGTAAGCAATACAGCACAGTATAAACGAGGCTACCGTTCCTCTAAGAATAACCACACGTTAGCCTGCCTGGAAAGAGATTTGTAAAAGCCTGACGTTCTAGGAGGGTTACGATGCTGACCGGGGCTTTCAGGTCCATTTTCGGTCTGAGAACCACACTCTACAGAAGGGGCTGCAACCTCAAACGCCACCAGGAGCCAGCCCGGTAACATGAACGGGCCAGCGGGTCTCACCTGCGGGGGCAGCTCTGGGTGCCCGGGGACACACGCGGTTCTGGGCCCAATGTTGCCAGATCTGACTTTTCTACAGAAGCTGGAAAACTGGGTTTTTAAAATTTAAGTTTTTCAGTCTTTCAGCGGCAACCAAGTCATTAAAAAAAACCAAAGCCACCACGCGGGCTCCACCAAACCAACCACCCTAGGAGCGTGCACGGCGCTGGCAACCGTATTCACTAAACGTCGCGGGGAATCCCGGCCGCTACGAGGGAAAACCACACGCTCCACGGGCGCCCAACGCGGCCCCGCTGCCACGCTGACCGCTGCCCACACCCGCTGCCCGCGCCCGCCCGCCGCAAGGGGACCGGCTCCGCCGGGGGCGGCGGCGCTCACTGAAAGCAGATGCCCCGGGAACTAGCCTCCGCAGAGACGGTCAGGAGCGGCCGGCAGCCAGACTACCTGCGCGCGGCCGCCGCCGCCGCTCCTCCGCGCGTCCGCGCCCTGTCAGCAGGCGCGGGGGCTCGCCGGCGGGAGGCTCCTCACCTGACCCGCGGCGCCGCGCACGCGCGATCTGCGACCTGGGCTCTGCGCACGCGCACCGCCGGCGCGGCGGAAGTGAGGCGCTGGCGTTCTTCCGGCCGCGGCGCGCCGCGCGCGCTTTCGTCACGCCGTCGGGGCGGAAGCGGTGCGGTCCGAGACCGGCGGTTGCTGAGAGGAGCGGACGCGGCTGGACCCCAGCTCCCGGCCGCTGGCCGCCGCCATGTCGCTGCTGCAGTCTGCGCTCGACTTCCTGGCAGGCCCGGGCTCCCTAGGTGGGGCTGCCGGCCGTGACCAGACTGATTTCGTGGGGCAGACAGTGGAGCTGGGCGAGCTGCGGCTGCGGGTGCGGCGGGTCCTGGCTGAGGGTGAGTCCCGGGCCGGGGTCAGCGGGGCGCGGGACCGGGAGGGGCGGGGGCGGTGTGGGGGCTGAGGGTGAGGGGGTTACCCCCGGGGAGAGGGTCAGGCCGGACGGGGGGAAGGGTCAGGCCAGGTCCACGGTTGGGTACTTCCTTGCCGGAGGCGTGGCGTCAGGATGGGGCGAGGCAGTCTTAGCGGCAGGTGTGAGGCTGACCTGCGGCTGGAGGAGGAGTTGTAGCCTTGGGAAGGAGATGGTGGGCAGATGGGCAGATCGGTTCGGGGCCACGGTGGAGGCGGAGGGAGGGGGTCCCAGAAGGCTGGAGTCTGGAGGCGCCCATTGCGGCTGGGTGGGTATAAGTCATGGCCCTTCCTTTCACATCCAGGGTCCTTGGGGCGGTGGGGCTGGGCTGGAGCTCTGGACGTCGGGCTGTCTCTCCTTGATTCTCGGGAGCTTGAGCGTGGGTGAGGCGTACCTTGTTGAGGGTGCTTGCAGTCTTCCCTCCTTGGGTGTTGGGATAGTCAGAGCTGTGTCTCATAACCTGGCTTCCTTGTCTTACCGCCTGAGTGTTCCTCTGTCAGTTTGTGAGTTCCTGTAATTACGGCAAGCCGAGCCAACGGTTGTGACCTGTACAGAACCTTGCAGGTTTGACTGGTCAGTCACGGAGGAATTTCTTGGTCAATCTTTAGGCAGCTTTGCTTCTGCATGTTATTTGTAGCTTTCTGAACGTCCTGTCCCTTCCTCACACAGAGTTGATTACCAACGTAGATGCAGTCCCCTTCTCTCCTCTGCGTTTTCTTTACATTTTGTCCAGTGGTGCCCACAGGAGTGTGTTGGGATTCTCTAGCTGTCATGCTTACCAGCTAAGCAGTTGGTTTTGGGGCTAGTGCTGAAACAGAATTGTGTTCCCCGCATTAACACCTGGTGAGGGAGTGGCGCATAGTGAAAGACCAAACCTGGCTGTGGTCACTCTCGGGGCTGCAGGTTCAGCCTGTCACTGCAGCCACCCCTGCTGCCATTTGTGCTCAATTTGAGGTGGGAAACCAGTTGACTGTTCTGATGTCCTCATTCCTAGAGGCCTGAGGAGATGTTTTGGCCACAGCATCATCACACGCTTTTTCTACACGGTGGTCAAAAACAGATTTAGGTGTGATTTGGTGAGAAAACCCCAGGCTTTTCTTTGAGAGGTGGGGGCCAGTACCTTTACTGACATTCTTAAGTGTGGTATTCTTTCACATCTGTTAGAGAGAGAGTTCCCCCAGATCAGTTCATTTACTCTGAAAATACCAGGCAATTAGAAATTCATAGTGGACAGTAGGCGGCTTCTGCATTGCAGAACTTAAGACACACGCTCCAGTGACTGAAGAGCAGTGTGGTACAGGGGGATCCTTGGGCGGGACAGGCAGTGGGGAGAGTTCCAGAGGGCCGAGCTGAGGTGAAAGGGGCGAGAGTGCACCACTGCCAGGTGCAGGGGCAGTGCCAAGGGCTAGGAGGGGTAGTTGCACATGGGAGGTGGGTCGTGTAAAGAAGGAAGCTCACACCCATCGCTTAACACCTAGAGTGAAGAACAAGGAAATGTGACCAGCCGCTGTGGTTGTGCGAAAGGACCTGTAACGAGTGCAGTTACAAGCTGTAGATTTCCTCCTTTTAAACTTAATAGGTGGCTCACAGCCTCTAAAGTTCGTGAAGCCTCTTTCTGAACTGAAACAGTAAGAAATCTATATGAAGTCTTTCGTATGAGACAGCAATCTCGGAACATAGGCTGTGGGAATTCAGGCTGTCTTGTATAAATGTGGGGAAGGTCCCCAAACCTGAACCCAGCCCCAGGTACCCTCCGTCCCAGCCAGCCAAATGCTGGCCCTGTTTCCTCTCCTGAAACGTCATACATGTGGCATCGCACGGTTTGTGCTCTCTGCGGGCCGGCTCCGTGGTTTACAGGTTCATTCCCTTAATATTGCAGCTTGCCTGCTGGTGGACATCTGGGTTTCCGTTTTGGTCTACTTGTGAATAAAGCTACCAAGAACACTTTTTTACAGGTTTTTTTGTGGACACGTTTTTTTTCTTTCTCTCGGGTAAAATACCCAGGAGTGGAATTGTTGGCTGTGGGTTGGATGTAGGTTTAACTTTACGTGAAGCAGCTAGACCCTTTCCACCACCACTGTGCCAGTTTACATTCCCACCAGCAACGCGAGAGTTCCTGTTCCTCCACACCCTCCCCAGAGTTTGTTATGGTGTGTCATTTTGACTCTGTCTGTCCTGTGGATGTGCAGAGCTGTCTCCTTGTGGTTGAACTGGCATCTCCCTGAGGATGCTGAGTTGAGCACTTCTTCACCTGCTTATTAGCCAGTCGTATGTCTTTTTTCTGTGTGAAATGTCTATTCAAGTTTTTTTCCCATTTTTTATTGGGCAAGAGTTATGGCAGTTTCTTCTTATTCTGGGTACAAGTCCTGTTTTTGTATAATACACACACATGAAGAGGAGGCAAATACACGCACGTGAAGAGGAGGCGAATACACACACGTGAAGAGGGGGCGAATACACGCACGTGAAGAGGGGGCGAATACACGCACGTGAAGAGGGGGCGAATACATGCACGTGAAGAGGAGGTAAGCCACAGATGGGGTCACTGCTGTCTGCATCAGGCTGCCTCTGGGAGCAAGGGCTCGGCCTGGGCCGTTGACACGTCTGTGCCCGTTTCTTAATTCCAGAATGTACACAGTAAGATGACTGTAGACAGCAGTGTCTTAGTAGTGCCCGGCATGTCATTCCTTGATGTGTCTTATACATTGGTGTCATTATTTTTATCTAAATGTTTAATTTTGAGGTCATTGTAGATTTACATGCACTTGTAAGAAATGATGTGGAGAGATCCAGATACACTTTGTCTGTTTCCCCCAATGGTAACATCTTGAAAAACTAGTCAGTGTCACAACCAGGATCTTGACATTGATACGGTCAAGACACAGAACTTTCCATCCCCAGAAGGATTCCTCATGTCCTTTCGTAGCCACACCCACCTCCTAGACCCCTGGAGGGGGTAAACCACTAGTAAATCTGTTCTCCATCTCTCTAATTTGGTCATTTGAAGAATGCTATATAGATGGAATCATACATTGTGTAGCCTTTTGGAATTGGCTCTTCGCACTCAGCACGATTCTCTGGAGATCCATCTAGGTTGTTGTGTCCATAATTTGTTCATTTTTGTGCTGAAGAGCATTCCTTGGTGTGGATAGACCATAGTTTAACCGTTCACCCACGGAAGGACATTTGGGTTGTTGCCAGGTGTTTTTGGCTATTAGAAATAAAGCTGCTATACATGTTCATGCACGGGTTGTTGTGTGAAGATAAGTCTTCGTTTCTCTGGGATGATGCCCAGGAGTGCAGGTGCTGGGTCATATGACAGTTGCATGTTTCATTTTTTAGAAAACTGCCAACCTGTTTTCTAGAGTGGCTGTGCCGTTTTACATTCCCACCAGCATGGACGGGTGTCTTAGTCAGCTCGGCTGCCATAACAAAATACCACAGGCTGGGTGGTGTAAGCAACAGAAATTTATTTTCTGAGTTCTGGAGGCTCGAAGTCCGAGATCAGGACGCCAGCAGGGTAGGTTTTTGGTGAGGCCTCTCCCCTCAACTGGCAGGCGGCACCTTCCCTGTGTGCAGGAGTGGAGAGAGCTGCTCTGGTGCCTCTTCCTCTTAGAAGGACTCCACTCCTGTTGGAGCAGGGCCTCACTCTTAGGACCTCCTCTAACTTTAATTACCTCCCTCCAGGCACAGTCACATCGAGGGTAGGGCTTCAACACAGCTGAGTCTAGAATACAGCCTGATCCAGCTGCTCTGCGTCCTCCCCAGCGATTTGTATTGTGGTTTTGTTTTTGGTTTTGGTTTTTTTGTGTGTGTGTGAGGAAGATTAGCCCTGAGCTAACATCTGTCGCCAGTCCTCCTCTTTTTGCTAAGGAAGACTGGCCCTGGGCTAACATCTGTGCCCGTCTTCCTTTATGTATATGGGATGCCGCCACAGCGTGGCTTGGCAAGCGGTGCGTCAGTGTGCGCCCGGGATCTGAACCCCGGGCCGCCACAGTGGAGTGCGCGCACTTAACGGCTATGCCACTGGGCCGGCCCCGGTGTTGTGTTTTTATTTGGTCATTCTGACGGCTGCGGGGATAGCCCACGTGGCTTTAACTTGCATTTCCCTAAAGGCTCACAGTGTGCTTATTTCCATCCTCATAGGTGAAATGTGTCTTTTGTCTACTTTCTAATTATACTTTTGTTGTTGGGTTTTGAGAGTCCTTGATATAGTCTTGATACAAGTCCTCTGTCAGATTTGTGGTTTGCAAGTATTTTCTCTGTCTCCATCTTGTCTTTTCATCTTCTAAACAGGGTGTTTTGCAGATGCAGTTTTTAACTTTTAATGAGTCTGCCTTACCCACTTTTGTGTAAGTGAGGCCTGCTTTTGCCGTCAACTCTAGGAAGTGTTTGCCGAGCTCCAGATCATGAGGGTTTTTGTCCCGTGTTTTTCCTAAGAGTTTCCTGGTTTTACATTTGTGTACTCTGAGTTAATTATTGTATAAGGGGTAAAGTTTAGATCCAAGTTCTTGTTTTTTTCCTTTTGCCTATATATGTCCAAGTACTGCAGCACCATTTGTTGAAAACGCTGTCCTCTTCCATGGGACTGCTTTTGCATCTTTGTCAAAAATCATTTGGACGTATTTGTGTGGCTCGATTTCTGGGATTTTTCTGCTTTGTTCCATTGATCTGTGTATCTATCTCTCCACTAGTACCCCACGGTCTTGATTACTATAGCTACGTAACAAGTCCTGAAGTCCAGTATTCTCTTCTTCAGGGAGGAATAATTTCAAAAATGCAGAAACAAACATGTGTCCCTACTATCCAAAGTTAATAAATGTTAGCTTTTTTTAAAAAAAAAATTCATATTTGACTCCAGACCTTTTAAAAATTTTTAATTAAGCATCACGGATGTTGTTCAAGGTCCCGTTGGCCTGCTGCTCCCTG